CTTCTGCTGCCTTTCATTTTATTTGATTTTATTTTGATTGCATGTTTTTTTGTACTTTGTTAATTTGTGTTACAAATGAAATGAATAAAGTGAAATAGCTTTTGATTTCAGCAAATATGATCTCCTACCGCTGCAAATTCAACAAGTGACCATTTTCTGTTATTGGGAGTTTTTTTTTTAATAACTTGAATTATACCCACACGGTTGATGAAYTGAAAATTATGCTGACTGACATTTGCACTGGAACATCAGAGAGAAATACCATTTGTGTAATAATTTGGAACACAGTGTAGGAAATAAAGGGGTTTGATTTTGAGGTCTGATAAATGTAAAAGTTTCATTAACGGAGGAGTTTTGCCTCATGTGAAAGGCCGCGCACCTTTCTCTCACTTTCCAATCAAAGTCAGGAAAAACAGAAAGCAGGAGACACAGAATCGTTACGACACTGCTCCCCTGCCAAACGCCAGAGGCAGAGCAGGGTCTACTCTGAGCCTGGAATAATGACACATGTGCGTGTGAGAGAGTCAACAAGAAATCCCAGCAAAGATCCCCTAATGAGCCTCTGGACGTGGAGTGGCGGTCTGCTCAAATAGCAGCGGGATCAGTCCACTCCCACACGCTGTAAATCACACACGCCTCAGGTGGGGACTGGCCTGCAGGGACCCCCACCTTTCCTACAGAGCCTCTGCTGTTCTTCTGGGGGCCACCATCAGTCAGGGACCAGGAAGAAGGTGACTCAAGGAGAGATGAAAACAATTCTGGTCAAACCACACAGGTGGTCCGCTTTGGTGGGCGAGATGAGGACTTTTGGGAAACTCAAAAAAGGCATTTGTTCATCATGAGTTATTCAAAGGTAAATCCCTTTCCAGGTGTAAAGTAAATAAAATAGGAGACCTTATATTATAATAAATCTACTACAAATCTTTTTTCTCTTTTGTAAAACAACACTTTATTTACTAAAATATATCTATGCTAAAAAAAAATAAAAGTCACGTCTTAATATTTGGTCCCACAGCTAAGTGATCTTAGCAAACATAAAAATGGCCATAATTAATAATATAATATAATATAATATA